GAGGTAAGGATAAGGGTTAGGATAGAAATACACGTAGCCGGAGCAAGGTGCGGAGTGAGATTTTCTAGATGCCGGACCAAGGATTTAGAAATACATAACTTATCACTTTGCATGCAAGATACTTGGAAAGAATTGTTATAGTTAGAATTATCAAGTTATGAACCTGTGGGGAACACGTAAACCCTAGTTACTTTGATTAATTGATTAAAACCCAACATTCAAAGTTGTTAAGTGTCTCTTTCAAGTCCGTTATTTATTTTCACTCATTTAGAAATAGAAACCCCCCTTTATTGTTTTTACTTTCCAAGGAAGTCATTGGCCAAACAATAGTAATAACAGGTTAAAGTTAAGTCTAGACTATTTTCCTCGTGGGAACGATCCCAACCTCACTAGTTGAGTTATTTACTTGACACGGTTGCTTTACTTCTTATTTGAGAAGTAAGTTTGAGCGTATCAAACATACACAAAAAAGGACAAACGAAGCAATCTGAAGATTCAAGTCAAAAGAGAGCAAGGAAGAAGTTGAAGAAAATGCTCTAAGGCATTTGCATGATGGCCCCACATCAAGGAGAGAAATGCACAATTAGGTTTGCAAAAATTAAATCGAGATAGGACACCTCGTGATGCCTCTGCGTCGTGCAGAAGCAGAAAAGTTTTTGGATGACAATCTGGAAGGTGTTGCGCGCTGGAGGCCCTGAATTGGACGTTTCACCTTTTAGTATATATAGGATTTTATTTTGTTTTATTAATTATTCTTTTTTTTGGGGGGGGGGGGGTTTAAAGAACGACGATTTTGGAGACAATTTTCTGGATTTTTTAGCATTCATTATTAGACTCTTCTCATTTTAATCATTTAATGAATCAAATACATTGTATGATAATACTTGTATTATGAGTAGCTAAATACCCTAGTTCTAGGGCTGTGGCTACAAGATGAATGTATTCTTTTGAGTTTAATTTTGGGTTTATTATTCACTATCACATGAACCTCTCTTAAGTTATTATTTTTGTATTTCATGTTTGATCACCATATAAATATGTCTATTGTCCGAATTGAACTTGGGAGAGGAATAAGAGGATATAACGTGGGGCATAGGGAGCTTGTTGAACTCTAAATAACTAGGGTTGATTCGTTTCTAGGATAGGGATATATCTAGAGACCTTGCTTGAGTCACCATAGATGAAGATAACTTAATGCTCAGTATTTAATCATTTTATCCCGCTCAACGATGTAGTTAGAGTGTTAGGTGTTATAGGCGATTAGAGTTTGGGATACCATGATCATACATCTGACCCTATGATTCAGTGATTCAATAGTTAATAATTACCCATTGAAATGATATTGATTGCATGATTCCTGATAAAAGTTGTAGCCTAGAATATTTTTCAAATCATTGTTTGAAACCCGTGAAATTGAATATCATATTAGTTACATTTCATTTTAAGTTATAAGTAGATGATAAATAACTCTTGAAATATGAAAATTACATGTGTGTGAAACTGCAAGTTAGGAGAATTGAGTAGTTTTAATCGTAAGTCCCTGTGGATATGATACCCGGCTCTCACAAAGAGCCACTTTACTACCTGTACGATCATCTGCACTTGTGTGTGTGATTTGACCGCAACAAGTATGTGTTGGGTTCTTGGTGATACTTCTTTGTCCGTTAGACATACCTTTTCATTGTTTATGATATCCGACAAATTTTACGCCTTTAATGTGCAATTATTCAACTGTGTAAATGTGTGTCTACATCCCGTTGCAGCTGATTTTTTCAATTAGGAGGCACCTCAACATTGATTAACTTGTGTAATCCCATGTTCTTTGTAATCCATGTATCCACTTTTATAGGAAAAATAAAACATCATATTTAGTTAATAAAGAATTTCCCTAGGGCAAAACTATATATTTAAATTAATTTATCTAATTGTTGTCATAAGTAAGGAATCTACATGTGTTGTATGATTGGGTTTATCACTGTTGTGAGGTCTATCTTGTTGCATCATTGCTTTCGAATCGTTCAGGAAAATTGGTGAGCTTAAGGCCAATGAAGTTTACATACCCTGAAAGAGATATCATAAGCATTGGTTCTTTAAATATTTATGGATCCCAATGTATATTTAGTTCCTTCAATAAGAACCTTAGATTCTCGTTGAATTGATATTTGGACAGTTAATAAAAAAGACCATCTTGAGCATATGATTTGGTATTACGGTCAATGTATTAGTGGATGCCTATCAAATATTGCATTGTTTGCAGGGTATTTCTAGGAAAAATTGTAAATTTTTTAATTAGAAAACTGTAATTAGCCACGGTTGAACTGTGGTAAATATATATTATGAACATTATCAGTGGTTATATTTCGCCACGATCAACCGTGGCTATTTCACATCAAATCATGGCTAAAAAAATGTTACCATGGACGCCTAAACTGTGGTTAATTTCCCGCGACGCCTGTTATAGGCACACCATAAATCGTGGCTAAATGATCGTGTCAAAGTAGTGTTAGCCACAATTCTGTTACTGTTTAGCCACAATTTTGCATGTTGCTAAATCACATGTGAAACCACATAAAAGTTAATCAATTAAGCAATACTACTATACTAGAGTTATCATTACACGATCAAAGTTATTAAATTAAGAGAAAGTGTGTAACTATCTTATGAAAGGTTGGTAGGTAATCAATTTTGATGGAATTGGACTTAGTATTGTAATTGGGCTAAAATTTAAATGTTAGACTTGAGAAAATTGTAGTTAAAGACTTCCGTTACTTAAAATTTAACAAAATATTTATATTTATTTATAAATAATATATAAATAATTATAAAGTTTATAAATCTAGTTATCGGTTCGGTTTGGTTATTTTTGCAGTTATTTTTTGGTAAAACCACAACCAAACCAAATAGTATCGGTTTTCAAAATTTAAAATCAAACCTAAACAAATCAAACCAAATATCAATTTTTAAAATCGATTTGGTTTTTGATTGCGGTTCAGTTTGATTTTTTTTACCATAACCATGAACAACCCTACTAGTGGGTGAACCTTTAGTGGTGGATCAAGTGTATCAATCATGTCTTGTTTCTTTGGATGGATATGATATTTGGGTAGAATTAATCATTTTGGGGATGATAGACTTTGATATTATCTTGAGTATGAATTTACTTGCTTTCATCATGCTATTGTTGATAATTAAGCTAAGATTGTCATCTTAGCGTGCCGGGTGTTCCAAGAGTTGAGTGGACGGGTGTTAGTAGTTCTTAACCTAACGAGGTAATCTCCTTCCTTAGAGCTCAGATATTGGTTGATAAAGTGTTTTTTCCTACTTGGCGTTCATTCGGGGTACTAGTGTTGAGCCACCTCTCATGGATTATGTGCCCATCATTCGAGAGTTTGTAAATGTTTTTCATACTTATCTTCCAGGTGTTCCCCGGATAGGGATATCGATTTTGCTATTGACTTGGAATTGGGCACCAAGCCCATCTCTATTGCTCCATATTGCATGCCTCTAGCCGAATTGAAGGAATTGAAAGATCAGTTGCAGGATTTGTTCAGTAAGGGATTCATTCACCCTATTGTTTCTCCGTGGGGTGCTCCTATGTTGTTTGTGAGGAAGAAAGATGGATCCATGAGGATGTCTATTGATTTCCATCTTCATCGTATTAATGATTTGTTTGATCAGTTTCAAGGTGCATCTCTATTTTCCAATAGTGATTCGTAATCTGGTTACCATTCAACTGAAGTTTTGGGCATCAAATACCCTAAGACAGCCTTCAGGGCTAGTTGTGAGCATTGTGAGTTTCTTGTGATGTATTTCGGTTTGACTAACGCCCCTACAACCTTCATGGAGTTGAGGAGTGTTTTGGACTTATTTAGATTCGTGTCATAGTGTTCATTGATGACATCTTTGGTGTACTCCAAGATTGAGGAGGACCACGTCCGACATTTGAGAATTGTACTTCAAAGATTGAGGGAAGAAAAGATTTACGCCAAGTTCTCGAAGTGTGAGTTTTGACTTGATTCTGTTGTATTTTTGGGACACGCGGTGTCCAAGAAGGATATTCGGATGGATCCAACCCAGATTGAGGCAGTGAAGGGTTGGCCAAACCCACATTGATTACTAAGATCTGGATTTTTGTGGGACTTGTGTGTTGTAACCGACGATTTTGTGTAGTGCTTCTCTACTATTGCATCTCCCTTGACTAGATTGACTCGTAAGATTGTGAGTTTCCAGTGGTCGGACGAGTGTGAAGACAGGTCTCAAAAGCTCAATACTTTGTTGACGTCGACTCCTGTTTTGGCTTACCCGAAGGATTTCAACATTTATTGTGATGCTTCCGGAGTCGGGTCAGGTGGTGTTTTGATGAAGAAGGATAAATTAAAGACCTATGAGAGGAACTACCCTACCCATGATTTAGAATTGGCAGTTGCAATGTTTGTGCTTAAGCTATGGCAACACGTGTGGAGTTTATAGTGAGCTTCTCACGGATCATCGTTATCTTCAGTATATATTCAGGCAGAGCTACTCAACGACTATAATATTACTTTTGTATCATCCAAGGAAGGCCAATATGGTGGCCAATGTTTTGAGTAGGAAGACTTCTAGCATGGGAAGTCTTGCCGCTATTAGTGTGGAGGAGAGACCATTGACTAGAGATGTCCAGAGGTTGGCCCACAATCTCGTCCGGTTGCAGATCTCCAAGGGTACAGGTGGTTTGTTTACTTTTATTGAAACTTGTTCTTCCAGCACATTCGCGAGCACCAGTCTAATGATGAGAAACCATATCTCATTCTTCTGACGATGTCTTGCGGATTGGAGGCAGGATTTATATGCCCAAGTTGGCGAGTTGGTTAGACTGATTCTTGAGGGGTTCCTGATATTCCATCCATCGGAGTGCGACAAAGATGTATCATGACCTGAGTCAGCCCCATTGGTGGTGTGGTATGAAGAGGGATATTGTAGATTTTGTTTCGAAGTGGTCATAGTTTCACTTTGGAATAAAATTCACAAATAGAACTTCTCAGCTCCTATAATTGAAAAATAGTCGCTACAATGGTATTTCAACTGAAAAGTGATCAACAACCATCATTTCGAGGCCTTACAATCTAACAAATACACACCATACAGTTCTGTAGAACAATACGGCAAAACATGCTATACATAAAGCAACAAATGATATTCTGATATCTCTATCGTATACACCATTTTCCTATTTGTTCTGGTGGCAGCTTGGGAGCAGAACACTTCTCCACTTACAGAGGTTTGAATTCTTCCAATATCTTTACCTTCGGCGAACATCTGGGGTGGCCACAGCCTCTGATTTTGGTTCACCGTCTGCCAGTCTCGTGCTTGAACAGTTGATAACATTGCACAAGAGATCGAAACATGGAACCAGCCAAGATGAAAAATTACAGCATGACTTGGTAAAGTTCCTGATAATATTTTCTGCTTTCCTGTTGCGACGGTAATCGATGTTGAAGCCTAGATTCGAGACATGAAATAATCTGACATCCAAAAGACTTCCTTAGATTATTAACTCAAAGCGAACTCTAACCAAGGAGTTAACAAAGTTCAAGTACTTCCACATAGGCATTAACAATCTAATTATAAATGTGTATGAACGTATAACACTTGTACATGTAAAGACCTTGACAATAAATAAATAAATAAACAGCACAAATACACTTTTACAACATGAAGCATTCAAATATAAACGAAGAAAGAGCACAAATAATACTTGAAAGAAATATCTGGTTCAACTCGAAGAGTAAACATCAAAGTCTAAGAGTTGGCTAAAAGGACTCAACAGGTGACAAATGTGATGGGCTTAGATTTTTTAGTTCTTTGTTTGCGAGTGGGGGAATGAAAGAGGGGAAGGTTCCTGGAGCTCTCCAGGTTCAACCATTTAAGAATATAGAAAGGAGGCTAATAAAGCATTTGAGTATACATGCTCGAGACTTCAGAGTACAAACTCAAGGCACCAGCAATTTACTCAACACGAAGGTAAAATCACAAGCAATAAGTTTAGTGCGTTCTCATGATCTAGTAAAGTAGAGTTCCGCAACAACATATGTTCCTACCCCATGTGAGTAAACCAGCCTAATTAAACTGCCTTCCACACTGAAAATAGTAGGATGTTCAATTGAAAGGTAATAGTAAGTTTGTAACAACAAAATGTACAAGCTATGAAGCTAATATCAAAAGTCTTGTGACACACACAAAGACAGAATGGTTTCAAAGAACAACAGAGCAATCACACTCGGTAACCGTCACAATTTCTTACCAGCAAATTCAATTATAAGACACTTCTCATTTTTAGACTGGTGAAATGGAGCATAAGCATTTTTTGAGATCGACCAGCACAACCAAGAAACTGATATACACATATACCTTTGTCAAGCCTGCAACAGGAAATATAGAAAGTGATAAAAGTGAAAGCTCTATTTCCTGAATTTATTTCTCAGGCAGACAAATAAAAAAGGTAATGGATAAATTATCTAATAGTTTGAAATGGTAAAAAAATGAGCATGTCTCTGCCTCACAGAAGACAAACATATCAATTAATTTTAGTCAACTTAGCTTACTTAAAGGAATGTCTTGTTAGACCTTAAAACTAACAAATATATACTCCTCATTCCAAAAGAAAAATTGTTGCAGTGATTTGAAAGGATCTAAAAAATTTAATTTTACTTGCATCAAATGGCAATTATGTGACTACAACACTAGACAAAAGTAAATATGCAAGAGAATGAAATGATTACCTCCGTAAAAATCTCTGTTCCATTCCCAGTGTATTTTGGATTCTTGAAGACACGAAGTGATTTAGAAAGATTCTTCTTTATTGATGGTGATTGGTCATGGTATCCATAGGTCGTAGTCATGCTTCTTTTTCGGCCAAATCCTGATTTTGTTTTGCAAATTGATGAGTTCTTAACTTTAATCAATGAATTGGTAGCGAACCAAAATCAAGTTTAAATGAAAGACCTTTCTTTATTTTCAGACCAAGAACAGGGAAGAGTGAATTCCAGAAAAAGAACGACTGTGAGGATTCATCAATCACAGTACAGTACAACAGCTTGAAAAGAACAAATTACATTTCTTGCAGCAGCTACAGCATAATGATGCCAACCTTAAAAGGTTTAAATTTCTCTGCAGAGCTATGGACGTATGTTACCAGTAATCCCCACATGAACAAACACCATTCTTGAAGTGATGAAAGCGATTGGAGTCCCTTACAATAATCTCTCTCTCTGTAATCTTAGAAATTAGTTTAGTTACATTGTGGCAGTCGCCACAAACCCGTAAATTTTTATAGATCCGTAAAGGACTTTTAGGAGGAGTGCTAAGAATTCCATAAGCAATAGCCAATCTCTCACTATGACTGGTAAGGATTTGTTCCTTCTCGTCCTCCTCGACATCTTGTAATACAAAGGTATAATCTGGAGTATAACCTAAGGTCTTGATCTTAGCAGTTAAAATACCTAATTCCTCATATATCTCGTGGCATTGTGGATGAGACTGGTTTCCTGTATAAAATACTTCAATCTTATTGTTTAGGTCAATTGAGCTCCATCCTGGAGTCTTCTTCAACCCCTTGTCTCTAGCCAATGATCTCACTTCATTCACCCCCTCCCAGCTCCCATAATTAGCATAGATGTTGGACAGCACTACATAGTAGCCAACATTCTCTGGATCAACTTCAAACAAATTATCGGAAGCCAATTTACCCAGCTCAACATTTCCATGTACTCTACATGCACCAAGAAGAGCACCCCAAACTGAAGCATCCGGTTGCAAAGGCATGTTTTTTATAAATTGGTATGCTGTTTCTAGGCCCCCAGCCCTGGCAAGCAGATCAGCCATGCAGCCATAGTGCTTTAGACCAGGTTTAATGCCAAACTCTTGCTCCATCATATGAAAGTAAGTTTTACCCTCATCAACTAAGCCTGAATGGCTACAAGCAGCCAATAGAGATAAAAATGTTACATGATCTGGTTTAATACCTGCATTCAGCATATCATTAAACAGTTTCAGAGAAACCCTACCATTTCCATGAATACCATGACATGATATTATGGCATTCCAAGGGACTGAACTCATTCTAGGCACCTCATGAAACAATAACATGGCTTCATCCAGTTTTCCACATTTTCCATAAAGGTCAATGAGGGACGTACTAACAAAGACGTCCAAATTAAGAGCTACTTTGAAAACATGCCCATGAGTCCTTGTTCCTTCTTGCAGTGCCCCTAGATGAGCATAAGCTGGCAAAATGCTCACCCAAGTTCCTTGGTTTGGTTCTATGTCGTCACACTCTTTCAGCATGTTGTAAATTTCAATAGCCTCACTTGCAAGTCCATTTTGAGCATAACCTGTGATCATTGAGTTCCATGACACTACATCCTTAATAGGGATCTCGTCAAAAACCTTACGACTACAATGAATAAGACCCAACTTCGCGTACATATCCACAACAGCATTACCCATAATAACATCTACCTGAATCCAAGATCTCCTTAATACAAATCCATGAACCGATCTGCAAGAACGAAAACTTTTGGTTTGAGCAATACTAGAAGCTAAGCTCACCAATGTCAACAAGTCAGGCTGAACCCCATTTATCATCATCTCTTGAAAGTACTTCAGTGCTTTTTCGGGAACATTATTCTGCTCGTATGCAGCAATTAAAGAGTTCCATGATACTAAATCTCTCACTACCATCATACCATCAAATACTTTTTGTGCATAACTTAGCTCACCAAATCTGGCATACATGTTTATTAAAGCATTCGACACAAAGACATCTAATTCTAGGCCATGCTTTATAACATACAAGTGAATTGACATTCCATGCACAACATCACCAAGCTGTGCACATGTAGGAAGTACTACTGCAATAGTCACTGTATCCATTTTTATACCCTCTAATCTCATCTCATCCAACAAGCTCAATGCCTCTGTAGCATTTCCATTCTGACAAAACCCAGATATCATAGCATTCCAACAACCCATATCTCGATAAGGCATGTCCTTAAAAATTCTAAAGGCAATACCAGAAGATTGGAAACGGCAATACATATGCACCAAGGAGGCAGCTACAAACACATCCCACTCTAACCCAAGTTTTGAAGCCCAGCAGTGTATCCTTACACCATCAATTATACTATTACAAGCTTTCAACACTGGAGGAAAAGTGTAAAAGTCAGGCTTAACATCAGCTGTGGACAACATTTCATTCAAACAATTCAGGGATTCCCAGAAATGGCCATTACGAACATAAGACGATATCATAGAATTCCAAGTATAAGCATCTTTATTCTCTATCATGCAGAAAGTCTTCTGTGACAAAGAAACATCACCCAAGTGAGCATAAAGATTCACAAGTCTAGTGCCAATAAAGATACTCTGAGCCTTCCCTGACACAATGAGAAGGGCATGAAGGCACTTCAAAATGTAGATTTTGGTACAGGAGTGGAATAAATGCTCAAAATCGAACTCTTTTTTCTTGCTTGCAACACCATTTGATAATACCTCATTGTAACTTCCACTTGAGTATAACTTGCACCAGAAAGAGGAGAATGACAGATATTTTATGGAACGCCAGCCTTTGAAGGCCAATAATAATCTGCAAAGACACAACAGAAAATGAAATCAATATGCAGACCAAAGATTACATGTTAGAAGAAGTAATCATATCAATAAAATGCCACAACAATGTTAAGAACATAAAGGGAATTTAAAGACACCACTGATCCTAGGATAATTGATAAGTAATTGAAGTGTAAGTTCCTCAAGATAACATGTGGAATTACTCACAGTACAGATAGAGAATACATGGAAGTGAATGTTTATGTAGTGGATTTTGAGGATAGGTTATCTAGTTGTACATCAGAGGGTTCTGCATACCCTCTTTCAAAAGCTGGACCTATCAAGTTAAATCCTACATCCAGGTCGAACAAATTACCTAGATTAATAAAACTTGAGAGGGTGAAATTATTCTTGGGTATAAATGATACATGTAAAATAGGTTGTTGGCCTTTGAATGACTTAAATATTTGCTAACAAAAGCATCAGAATATCCTTCTATGATCCCTACTTTATCCTAACGGATGTGTACGCCTTAAATAGCTTTCAAGGGGACTCATATGATGGGCAATCTACACATTCCTATCAACCTTCCCACTTTCCAAATCTTGGGACATGAATTTTATTTTATTTTCTTTACAAATATCACTTCTTTCAGAACTTAAATGAAAAAGGTGAATAATCTTAGGCTCACTTTGCCTTCTTGAGTCAGATGACCATTTCCAACTATCAAGGCATGCATTTAAGCACATCAACCAATTCATCCTTTTGTTACAACTTGTTCATTCATAATCCTTGAGATTCTTTTACTCACAGTACACTAAACACTCATCAACTCCAACGGTTGAGAAGGTCTAGCAATATTCAAGTTCCAATTATTTTTATAAGTGCAAGTATACCGATGAGATTGAACCTGCCTGTTCTTTGGAGTATGTGGCAATTCTAAAATTGGTTTAGGTGAGGAAATGGAAAAGGAATGGACAGATTTTATAAAGACTTGCATTGTAAGATATACACAATTCTTTTTTTTTTTGATAAAGGATATACACAATTCTTCCGCTCAATCATGTGCGAGATAGACCCCCCTGACCTTTTCATTAAGGAAATTAGAAGTCTCTGTTCCGCTAATGTTGATGTTATGTTAAACATTTGATTAAAGACTTAATTATCCTCTTCTTTGCACGCTTATTTCTACTTTCCAATGAATAGATCTGACGTAGTCATAAAAGAAACATAACCAGCATTTCTTGTTTGATTTTGTTTATTTAGTTTAGTTTGTATCTAATCTATCATAGAGACTTACTGTTTCACGAGTTATAAATTATAGAGCTCCCTATTCTGTAGATATAACCCGTATATTCTTTTGAGGACATATCACTTCGCAAATTGAACTGAGGTTATCACAAGCTTCCTCTTGCCTTTCTCTCATCTACTTCTTCCTCTTTTGCCATCTCTTACCCTTGATTTTTCTCTCCTTTACTCTACTATGCTTTTCTCTCATTCTCTCTATCACTCTCTCCCTCTCTCATTATTTCACTCCCTTCTCCCTCTGTATTTTTCTTCTCTCTCTCCTTTCTCTTTTCTTCCCATGCCTTTATCCATTCTCCATTTTATCACTACAGTGCTATTCATTTCGGGAAAATGCATAACTATCCCTCAACCTATGCCTGAAATCCCAAAAACACACTTATACTATACTAAGGTCTGATTACCCTCCTAAACTTATTTTATAAGTAATTTTCTACCCTTTTTTGGCCTACGTGGCACTAGTTTGAGAAAAAAAATCAGCCAACATTGGACCCATAAGATAGTGTCACGTAGGCCGAAAAAGGGCTAGAAAATTATTAAATAAATAAGTTCAGGGGGTAATAAGACTTAGTATAGTATAAGTGTGTCTCTGAGATTTCGGGCATAGGTTGAGGGGGTACTTGTGCATTGTCCCTATTCATTTCTCCTAGCTCATCAAGTAACTCTTACACAAAGAAAAGTTTGACATTATTAACACAAATTATCATCACAGACTGGCATAGCAGCTTATGTACTTCGTTAGTTGGGTGTGAGCATCAATTCGAATTACAGTTTTACAAGGAATATATTGTGTCATTTTATGTTGGTATTAAAGATGTTTAACTTTAATGAAGCACACCACTGTGCTTGCAGCAGCTTGAGGGTTCATTACCCTTATCTAGACAGTGTCATAAGGTAGCTATTTAGAAAGTTAAAAATAATCTAGGATGACCTACCACCTGCCACCATAACATAGAAAAGTTAGCAAATTCTACATCTCAAATTGATTGAGGTTGGATCACCATGGGGTATAAGACTTTTTGTAATAGGTATCACTACCTATGGATGAAGCAAGTTGTATCACATGAGTGAAGTTTATGCCTCTTTAGATCGATCTATGACCATGTGATTTGAGCTAAAATAGTTCCTTCAAACCAAGAAAACAGCAGGTTGGCAATACTTGTGGTCTTACTTCATTTGAAGTTGTCCTATCAATTGTATCACATACAACAATTGTTGTTTGTGATATTAATATTCCACCTGTTAGTTAGAAAAGGATCGGGAATAGGAACAAGAATAACATATACCATGCTACTTAGAATAGTAATAGTAATAGGAATAGAAATAGTATATAGAATTTTACTTAGAAAAGAATTGCCTTATAGTGTCCTAGTGGGAAAAGGATTCTTGATGTAAAGGCAATAAATAGATTCTCAACGCAATATTGTAGGGAACAATTTAGTAATATTCTTTTCCTATATTTCTCACATGGTATCAGAGCTCTTACAATCTTGGTAGAAAAAAAAAGATTCCGCTACTGGCGGACGGCTATGACTCAGATATGCCACCTGTCTTGCCATTGTTTATGTTAACGAAAGTAGGGCCAATGATATATGCATGAACACCATATTTAGGGGAAAAAACTTAGCCAAACGGTCATGCATCAACTTTCTATAACTTTCTAGGGTGGTTTTTGTGTCAACTCCGTACCAGCCAATGTTTGTGTAAGCATCATGCCATCTTTCCGGCGACTATTTTCACATATCTGATTTGTATAGCACCGTGTAATCATTCTAGTGACTACTTTCATATATCTAATTTCTGTAGCACTATGCCATCTTTTTGGTAACTATTTTTTTATATTTACTTTGTGTAGTAACGTGTCATCTTTTCGGTGACTATTTTTTCATGTTTAATTTTTGTAGCACTGTGCCATCCTTTCAGTGACTACTCTCTCATATCTAATTTTTGTAGAATCGTTCCATCATTCCAGTGACTATTTACTTTTGTGTAGCATCGTGCCATATTTTTGGTGACTACTTTTTTATATTTAATTTGTGTAGCACTGTGCCATCTTTCTGGTGACTACTTTTTTATATTTAATTTAGGTCAAACCCAACGGTGGTCCCCTAAAGTTGGCATCAATTTTCACTTAGACCCCTTAACTAAGCTTTGTTCATTTTAAACACCTCATGTGGGGGTTTGTTGTGTCATTTTGGCACTTTTTTTCTATTCGATTGTGCACGTTACTCTATGGTCTAAAACGTTCTTCTCAAGCTTGGTTTGGGAAGTCGGGAGATATTGTTACAGAATTTGTGTGTCAAGTGATCAACTTGCAGATATCTTCCCCAAGTCTTTTTTTAAAAAAAAAAAAAAACTAGCAAGGTTGAATTCTACAACATTAAGGATATGTTGGCTACCTCCAAAAAGGAATAATTACAAATTTCCTATCAAATTTATAATCTGGTCTATATCATCTATACAAAGTTGTTTACACCAAAAAAGTAGAGATACTATACAATTCCATTAACTTTGTGGATGAAATTGGATCTATCTTCAAAACATCTTCCATTTCTTTCTTTCCAGACCAACCACCATACACATGATGATATTAGCTTTCACCATCTCTTTTGACTCTTACTGCCTCCCCTCCTAATCCAACAGCTCAACAAATCTGATGTGTTCTGGCATTGTCCAGTTCAAGCTTGTGATGTTGAGAAACAAGTTCCAAATTTGAGCTGTAAACTATGCAGGAAGAGATGGTTATTTGTTTCCCCTGTCAAGTTGCACAAAAACACCTAGGAACCAATTGTCTGCCTTTCTTTTGTAGAACGTGTTCTCTTAAACATGCTCTCTTTATCACTAACCAAGTGAAACACTTTACTTTTGTAGGAAAATCACTCTTCCAAAAGTACTTCCAATTATACTTTGGGGCCCCTGTCATCCCCATTAGTCCTCTTTTGTAGACATTGTTGACTGAGAAGACTCCATCCTTGCTATGTTTCCACAGGATATTTTTTGTTGTTGTTGTTGTTGTTGTAGTTATAATCATTTCAGGTAGTTTTTTTATTAGCGTTGTCACCCTCTTCATCTCCCAGTCCAAGTCCCTCATCGATCCTCATTTCAATTACATTTGTAACAAGCTAGGTATATATGATTTGTATGCACCAGCTTGAGGGAGAGTGTTACAATTGGAATAAGAACGAGAATAATATATACCATCCTACTTAGAATAGTAATAGGAATAGAAATGGTATATACAATCCTACTTCGGAAAGAATTGTATTGTAGTGTCCTAGTTGGAAAAGGAGTCTATTGTGGTGTCTATAAATAGGGTCTAGTGTAATAATGTAGAGTGAACAATTCAATAATATTTTTTCTCTATATTTCTCACACCACCTATTCACTTAAACTCACTACATGTCCTCTCACCGGTGAGAGGGCTTTTTGCTCCATTAGCACTTCCAAAAAGGACTTCTCTAGATGCAATTCAAGCTGCAATCAAGTAACTTAGCTCACTTGTTTGTTTACGCTTGCCATCATCTACATGTAGGCCCGGTGTTTTGGATGCGAAAGGCGACAAGGGCATGCCTCGCCACGCGGCGAGGCGCTCGCCTTTTTTAATCGAGGCGCCAATTAATACCAAAAATTAACAACATTTAATTGCACATATAATATTCAAAATTTCAATAGCAATTACATATATTACAAATACTATAATAATTACTATAGAAGAATTAATTTTTTTTCAAAAAAATAATGGACAGAAGTCACAACACAGTGAAAGCAAAAAGCATTTTACAGTAATCTGGGACAAAACAGAGAGTGAAGAAAACAGAGGGAAAAAAAGAGTAGTGAAGGCAGGGAGCAGTGAAGAGTGAAAGAGAAAGAGACGAATGGAGCAGCAACTCGAGGGAAAGAGACAAAGAAGAGAGCAGCGACTGAGGAAGAGAAGAAGAGAGTAAACACTGAGGAAGAGAAGAAGAAGCAGCAACTCGAGGAAGAGAAGAAGAGGAATACACGAAAGTCAGATGAAAGTTTGAAAATAGAAAAAAAAAACTAATATTATTAAGTTAAAACTTTTTTAAAAAAAATAAATCAAAATGGCGACGCCATTTACATCGCCATTGGGTCGCCTCGGGTCGCCTATTTGAGGTCGCCTCGCCTCAGTGGATAATGGCGACACAGCCTCGCCTCGCCTGGCCATTTGCCAAAGGCGCTATGGCGAGCGCCTTTCACAACACTGTGTAGGCCTAGGTATGTTTTTGACAAGGGTGTAGGATAGATGTGTTTTTTATCCTGTTGGAACTAAACATGCCTGTTTGTCTGGGAAAAGACCTAATCAGCATACAAAATGCTTTTCCTTAGCTGTTTACAGTTATGTATTAATACCACTTTTGGAAAAAATACTTCTGTCACCTAGCCAAGAAAGAAAAAGAGTTGCTATCAATCATCACAACCATTGATTTGCATTTCCAGTTGAACTTTGTGTGCCTTAGGGCATCTCCAACCTTGCCTCTATTTTACTCTCTAAATATAGATTTTACTCTCTAAATATAGAATTCTCTATATTTTCAGACAACAAACTCCAACCCAATTCTCTATTTTACTCTCTAAAAAGAATCATTTTCTCTCTCCTCAATATTTTATTATGATTATTTCTATTTTAATCTTATTTTCTTATTTCATAATATAATTTCCCTCCTTTTTTTCAAGTAACCACTTCATGTAATTTTCATGTAATATAAATTATATTTTTTAATTTTTATTTAACATAAAATTAGATTTTATTCTAAATTTCTAAATAAAATAAATTGCAAGCAAATATTATATAATATAAAAATTAATAAACATAACTTTCTGGCAAAATTGTTGTGATAACATTATTATAATATGTATTGTATTGTTATCTTGTATTTAAATAATTATCTCATGTATTGTATTTTCAAATGAAAATTTTCATCTCATCATTTTAATTTTGTGCATTCTTCATAGTGAAAATTATTAATAATATCAAATTATATTAAAGTGATGAAAATTTTAAAAAGTTGAAATGTTATTAAATGGGATGAAAATAATATATATTAAATAATATTTTTCAAAACGTTATATTACATTTAAAAGAATTGTATATATTAAAGATTTAATTAATTGCCTTATATGAAAAATAATATGTTAATTATAAAATAATAAAAATAAAAATAAATAACCAAAAAGTAAAATAAAGAGGAGAATAGAAGTTTTCCAACCTCTCTATAAATGGAAGAATAGAGAGATGATTAAAGTGTGGTTGGAGTGAACATTCTCCATATTCTCCAAATATAGAGAATGGAGAGTAAAATAAAGAGGTGAATAGTAGTTCTCCAGCCTCTTTATAAATGGAAGAATAGAGAGACAACTAAGTGTCGTTGGAGAGGACATTCTCTATACTCCCCAAATATAGAGAATGGAAAGTAAAATAGAAGCGGGTTGGAGATTGTCTTATAAATGCAAATTAATGTCCGCAAATAAAATCTAAGCAATGTTAGATAGATGTCTTGCCACATCTCAATCAAACAAGAATGATTTAGATAAATGCTTGCAGTAATATATGATACAGATCCATAAGATAAAAGTTACACCACATTATTCTTACCTGTCTCTGTGACATGGCAATATTGACCTCAGCACAGACATGGCACTATTGATCTTGACAAGATATAGGCACTCTCCTTACCAGCCTGTTTGTGCAACCACAAAGTAGCACCAGTTGTTCCAACAAAACTAAGATTGTCATTTCTTCAAATGACAGCTTATCCATTCCTATGTAGTGAGTTCAAAAAGGTTAAAAATGTAGCATCACATTTAACAAACTACATCACAATCACATTTTTATAGAATGATAAGCATACCCATGTTACAATCACTATATGATCAATCAAACATTTTTTTTCTTTGCAAACCAGAACCAATCAGCTGCCAATTCAAGAAAGAGTGAGACAGTTGCATAAGTAAGAAGCTTGTTTTTTCTTTTATAAATTTGCTTGCCCAGACTCCACTTGTGAGATCACATTGGCTATGTTGTTGTTTTTGAAACTGAATGACACCAAATGGGACTTTAAGTTGATGCCTAAAGATGAATTTAAGGAAACAATACAATAGAAATAGTAACAACCATCCAAACAAGCTGTTACAAAGAACCCAATGATAAAAACATAAAACAAGTACTTCCTCCGTCCAGAATTGTTTGTCATGTTGCCCTTTTCGAAAGTCAATTTGACTAATTTTCAAAGTTAAATTAGATCACAGTAATTCGATATTTTAAACAAAAAAATTAGATATTCTAAACTATACGAAAAGTATTATAAATTGCAATTTTTTCATATTAATATGATAGAAAGAATAAATTTTAAAATGCTAGTCAAAGTTTATATAGTTTGACTCTAAAAAATGAAATCATCTCAAACAATACAGAATAGGGAGTAAAATGCTAAAGAAACCATTTCTAAAAAGAGCAAAATAAAGCTAATATTTATACATTTGCACTAAGTTTCCACTTGAAGTCAGTGACTTAAAACAGTGAATCCATAAAACTTTAAGAGAATATATTCAATTTTCGATGAACAGTAACTAGAAATAATAAATAAACAAAAAAATAGAGCAAATATAATGGAACTCAGGATTAGTTAGTAGTAATAAAAGATTAGAGATAAAGTTACCGGAGGAAAAACTTGTTGTTGGAGTTACGGTTTGGAGCTGCTGTTTGCCAAAGTAGGTATGTTTGGGTCTGGTTTTTGCCGGAGAGAGGAAGAGAATAGTGGGGTCTGGTATCGGTTTCAGGTGGGTTTTGGGGTTTTGTCGTTTGGTGGCTGAAGCAAGGGGCTGAGGTTGTTGGTTGGTCGAAGAAGATGGTAGGAGCGTGGAGGTGTTTTGACGGAAATGGTAAAGGGAAATGGAAGGGGGTTTTGGGACTTGTAGGTCCTTTCTTTAGCTGGTTTTCTGGTGTGTAGGCTTGTCGGAGAAGATGGGGCACAGCAGAGAGGTGACGAAAATTGGCAAAGGGAACAAGTTAGAGGAGTAAATTGAGGGATAGGTGAAAAAAACTGTTTGGAAATTAAAATTGGTTGGGTTTAAAATGTTATGTTTAAAACTTCTAAACTTTTAAAAATATTCAAAATAAATTCACATTCTAATTTTAAAATATTTGAAAAGGTTTCTCTCTTCTTAAATTTTAAAATTTCTTCTTTTTCATTTTTTTTCTCTTTCATATACTTGTTATTTTTTGGTGTTGTTATCATTTTTGTTGTTGTTTATTATGTTTTATCACTTTTTATCTTTTTCTCTTATTGGTCCTATTTCATAAATTAATTTGCTTTAATTTTAATTTTTTTTTGAAGTTAAAGTTATTTTTTTCTTTAAGAAAATCAACCAATAGCTAAAGTTGTCGCAGTAACTGCTTAAGTTATTCTAGCAACCGTTGAATTTTTTTTAGCAACTGTTCAAGTTTTTCCGCAACTGCTCAAGTTTGCTCAGCAATTGATGAAGTTGCACAGGAACAATAATAATTATTTTAGCAAGTGAGATAAAAGAGAGGGTGTTAGAGTGGAACAATGAAGGTGGAGATGGTTGTTGTGGAGACAGAGGTAAAGAATAAGGAGATGGCAACAATGGTGGTAAAAGAGAAAGAATAAGGAGATGACAACAATGGTGGTAAAAGAGAAAGAATAAGAGAGTGATGGCAATGGAGAAAGAATTAATGGCTGTGGTAGAGGAGAAAGTGGTGACGGTGACGATTACAATGGCAGATGGGGAGGGGATGGCAGCGGCAGAAGAGTGGAGAGGAGGGATGGGGTGGGGGGTGGGGGAAATAGGACTTCTATATAAATAATAAAACTTAAGGGTGACACTAATTTTAAAATTGTCGCCTCTACTCAATAATTAAAACTTGTGTCACTTTTTCTTCACTTAGAAACTGTTTTGTCACCCTTAAATCATTAGGAGCCACAGGAGTCTTTTCAATGACTTGCCAGGAAAAAAAAATAAGGAACAATAAAAGAAAACTTTTGAAAAAAAAATCTGAAAAATTTCTCCTACAATTTTATTTAGCACATTAGGCATCTCCAACTCAATTACCAAATTTTACATTAAATTTAGTGTTAACATTATTTTTGGTGTGATTAACTCCAACTCAATGCAAGACATGCTAAATATTGACAAAAACATGCATCATAACCAGAACAACAAGCTTCTAAACAAAAGCCTACTAATCAAATGGCTTTTGAGACTCAAAGACAAAAACTAAGTTATCAATACCGTATATGGCAAGGAGGACTAGTGGACGCCTAAAATCACTAATAACTAATAGAAACAACTATTTGGAAGCAAATTTATCCTTATTGTAGGGAGTTCAACTCTTTTACTAGCAGAGCTGTGTGAATCGACAAAAGCATCAGATTCTGGTTGGATCACTAGTTAGATATTGCGATACTAAAAAATGAGGTCCAATACATCATTAAATAGGAAGTGCATGATAGGCTGATGGCTGGTTGTTTCTCTAATATTAGATAAAAATCTACAACTTAGAAGTTAGAAGAAACCTCAATGATTGGGAAAGACTAGAGAGTTATGAGTTTGGTCTTCTAAAGAGGTTCTACAACATGTATCTCCAAATGTTATTAATATTGATTCATTGAAGTGGTTGGCTAGAAAGGGTAGACTTTACTGTAAAGAGTTGCTATGATCTACAAAAGCAATCTCGTGATTGAGATATGGATTCGCCTTGGAAAATTATTTGGAAATCAAAGGTACTTTCAAGGTAACTTGTTTTGGTAAAGTTGCAACCAAAAGCAACCAGGAATGCCTATATTCAGGACAATCTTCAAAGAGAAGGTCTGCCCTTGTGCAGTAGATGTTTCTTCTGTGAATGTTATCATGAAAGCAGCAAAAACCTACTTCTTTATTATAATCAAGCCTTGCTAGTTCAGTCATTTCTCAATTTGTTTGGATTCTGTTGGGTTATGCCAGGAAATGTATAGTGGCAAAGAGAGAGATATCAAAAAATTCAATAACGTTCGAAAGCTTGCTCCTTCATGCATTTTCTAAACTATTTGGACACGAACAAGAGTTGATTTGAAGTTGATGAATTTTACCATACAATTAGGACAACACGTATCTTTTCATAAATTTCATCTTATGATATTGAGAAGGACACATGGAAAAAATATCTTTAGAAGTCTTGAATCTTTTTCAGTTTGTGAAAGGCAGGCAGATTGGCAAAACCTAGAATTTCGGAGCCATTAATAAGAAAATAGTATGTCAATTCGAGTACAACCCACGACGAACTATACAAGTTGGATTCTAGGATTTGTTATGCAGTGAGATTACAAGAGAAGCAACGCAAGTCATTTGTGAAAATGGAATTAGGGTTTTAATTTTGACATCAAGAATTTAGAGAGGGACTTACAACTTGTAACGATCCATTTGTTTGTTTTGAGTAGTAGGTCTTTTAATTTATTAAAAGTCTCTTCCGATAGATTTTAAATGGATAGCTTGGACTATTTGTAACTACACATATAGAATTAAAAGGGATAGTTTTAATAATTTATATTGTTGATGGTTAAAGAAAATAATATTAAAATTAACAGATGATCACTTTTGTATTTTTTTATATTTGATATTATATAGTAATTAGGGCGGAAATATTATGGGAAAAGTATAAGGTTTTGAGGCGAGAAATCACTGAATGGAGCAGTTCTTCGAGTGTTTATAGGCTTGTTAACTTACAAATTATGAATATATACTTGATAGATTAGAATGGTTCGGAAGCACTGAGTAAAGGAAAATCATTGGAGAAGTAGTTGCTTGACTTCAGTTATTCGATGGAGGTATGTTATGGTTTATGCTACTTGATAGTAAACTGTTAATAGTGATTGATATGCATTGAATGATATTGTGAAGTTCTCTATGTACTTGACTGTGTGACTTGGTGGTGTGGTTTGTGATTGGTCTACAATTTTGAAAACCGTTGAACCCTCTTTATCGAAGTGATGCCTTGAATAAAGAAGGCTTGATGAAATAATATAATAATAAATTGAAAGTGGTGATAATAAAGGATAAATTAACGGTATTCTTGGATCGGAGTGTCACGTTCTGACACGATATTCTTGAATCGGAGTGTCACGTTCCGACACAGTTTTTTGGATCGGAGTGTCACGTTCCGACATGGTATAATTGGATGGATTGTCACGTTTGACACAGTATTATTGGATCGGAGTGTCACGTTCCGACACAATATAATTGGATCAGAGGATCACGTTCCAACATAGTAACATTAAAGGAAAAGGATATTGAATTAATTTAATGTACTCAATCTCAAAGAAATCATTTTCCAACGAATGTGGTGTGGAGGCATGAATCCTCGTGTGTGCTTAATATTATGATTGATTACGTACTTGCTTCAGTTGTCACTTGTTCATGTTGTTTGTTGCTTCTCACCTATTAAGCACTATAGTTGATTTATACTATAATTCTTTGTATATTAATTATTATTTTGGATTGGCCGATGATACTTACTCAGTACATGTTGCCTCGTACTGACCCATACATGTATTTTTCTTTATTTTCCTTATATGGAGTGCAGCAGGTGTACCGACGAATTTGAATCGCCCTCAGCTCTATCAAGTCTCGGCATATTAGGTTCAGGGGGGAGCTATTCATTCGAACTTGGGTTGGATTCTCTTAGTCATTACATGTCACAAATTACTTTATTTCATTTATTTTGGTGTCTTTAATACTCTTAGACTTAGTAATTGGAGATTAAATGTCCTTGTTGTGATGACTTTTAGGTTTTGGGAAAAGATATTTAGTAAGTTTTTTGAGCTTCCGCATTATGTTTGTAGTTTGTAAGTTGAGGTTAAATTCGTTGGTTCTCCCACCTAGGGGGTTAAGTGTGGGTGCCACTCACGACACATTTTGGGTCGTGACGCGACTAGATTATGCCGGAGCTATACTCAAGAGATCCAACAGAGTACCATGGAGGGAGAAAATTTTTGCCGACGCCAACTTCGCCGTCGAATAAGAATAGATTTGAAATTGGGCAGAAATCAATAGACAACAAATTTGGGCCTATGAGAGAAACTTACATAAGTATATTATAATAAAAAACTATTTACCATTTATAGCCATAATGTTTTTTTTCACTTGATCACTTATAATTTATCTATAATACAAATTTAATACATATTACAAAGAATAATTTATTATTCACATTTAATACAAGTTTTTATGATATATTATACATCTACCACATATATTTTTAATACACTTATAATACAATGTGTCAAATTCTTACCAAACAAACATAATATATTTCAAAGAACAATCATAATTTATATATATATTGCATACATAATTCATTTTTAATTATTGTAGATTTAACATAATATTATTATAAAGGATAATAAATTAAAAGTATCGCTAAAATCAGTAATTATTTATTAAAATGTACTAAATCGTGTAATTTTTCCACCACTTGAGCTAAGTGCACAATTAATTACTTTTTGAAAAAAAAAGATTAATTACTTAGGTGGATTCCTTTTAGAAAATAATTACTTATTTAACATACAATTTCTAATTATTACCATTTATAGCAATATATAACAATATTATGTATATTTATTAAAGTTGTTTATCTTTATCTCGCTTCTTTCTCTTTTTATTTGTCTCTCCTTATTAAGCAGGGATGACTAATACTTTTTGATGAATGAGATGGGGTAACAAAATATCTAAAATGAAAGTTTGTTCATCTTGATTATTAGTTTTCTTCATGTTTATATTTATTTTTTTGAAAATCTTGGTGAAAAATTATTGTTCTTTTTGTTGAATAAAAAGTTCTGTACTTTTCTAAATTGGAGATGTTCCCTTAATATAGTAACATAATAATCATTTAAGATTTAACAATTTTATTTAAATATTACGATATATGTGCTTTCCGTAGCACATTGAAGTAATGCTTAACTGTCAATATATAAAAAATTTAATACATTTTGCATGAAATGTTTAATTCTCTTTAAGTTCAACTTTAATGTGTGTGCAATACATTTTAATTCATTTTGCAAGTTATTATGTCTCTTCATGTTATAATTAGATTAATTATCTAATTCATTATTGATACAAATTTTATTACGAATCATTGATTGCTCTTTCATTTG